CGCAGAAATGTTTTCTAACCACACAAATAAAGGCATGCTAACAGATTCTTATACAACAATATTGGCTGAAATAGATATCGAGAGAACTTTGGATAAAATCAACCAGGATACCGAGAGATTGAATGATGAAAAACCTATCGCTCTAAATTATAAATTGTTAAATTGTCAATCATCTGGCATTACGTTGAGAGGTGGCCTTATTTCATACATCTATGAGGCTTTCCTGGTGAATGAGCCTCGAGTCGCTGAAATTACGAGAGGAATGGATGCTATTTATAAGTTTATTCGTAAGACAGATGAAGAGTACTTAACGAACTTGGATGAACTAGCATCGAAAGATAAGATACCGTTCATGGAGTACTGCATCAATGCAATTGAAAATCAGCATCGAGAATCAGAAAAAAGAGAAAGACTTTTTATAACAGAAATTGGACTAGGAAACTTTGACGATATCGACGTGCAAAGCGGGTTCACGTTTAATACCCAACTCTTCAAAGTGAACACGAAGAATGTAATGGACTTTTTAAGAGGGTTCAATGATCACAACCAATTTATTGTGAAGGTCTTTGATCCCATCAAAGCGAAAAGAGACTATAAGGATTACCAAGATAAACAAACTGATATTTTCGGCGCATGTCGCAGGGCGTATCTGTGCGAGAAACTTGCATACGAAAAATTGTCAAATAACTTCTTGTTCAATAGCGTTTATGTTGATCAGAAATGCGTCTTTGGAACTTTCAACATCGGTAAGCATTATCATGCATTGGGCCCATTTCTCATATTAAAATATATAGAACAAGGAGAAGATGAATATGACCGATTGCCCAAAGATAGGGCGAACTATGAAAAAGCGGAAAAGCAGTTAGAAATAATTCACAGTGTCGGAATAATACATGGAGATATTTGTGAACGAAATATTCTTTACTCAGATGGAAAGATATATTTTATTGATTTTGGATATTCTGATTATTTTCACGATAAGAAGGGTTCGCGACCAGTTAGTGCTAATGCTGAGAGAAGGAAAAGCGAACATAGGAAATTGTGTAGAGTGTTTAATCAGCTAATTCCGGAAAAGTATGAAGATTCGAAGAATAAGGGAAACTAGTTATATAATCATTGTATAGCAAGTAATAAGAAGCAGAAACATGTTTGTCACTTATCCTCATCACCCTCCTCCATACCCTGTGCTTGCCGGAAAAAATGATGCGGAACCGTGACACTGCGAAAAAAAAAATAGTCCATACAAAACTTTTTGCGTGACATCAGACTGGAACCGTGACACCAATTCATGTATTGAAGTTCAGTGTGTGATATTCACCTCATCTAGACTATTTACTATGATGAATCGATTCCTGTAAAAATCTCTCTCTAAGCTTGAATTTTTTGAATTTTCATTTTACGGAATTCGGCAAAAATTGTCATATATTATAAATTAATTGTAAAAATTTACAAACATTTGAACTAAAAAAAACATCACGCTGGTTTGCCAAATTTACAGGTATTGTTGCAGGATATTTTTATATTTAAGATGCAAATACGAAGAATATTTAGCTACTAAGTTTGCTACACGATATTTATGAAAGCTAGTTTAAACTGGTCCATAAATACTTCGATTATAAACTGGTCTCGCGGTCGAAAAATAAGGTCAATTCAACATCGTATACTGGAAGTGGTAGTAATCCTTCCTCTGAAGCGGTTTCTGATGAGATGAGCGCACAATCGCTCGCTACAAGTACAATAACGGAAGGTAGTACGTTGAAGGCGTCACAAAAATAGTAGTGCACATCCATAACAGAAACTGCTATTTTATTAGCGTCTTGTTCTGCTGAATGCTCTCTTAGAATTTATTGGAGAAAAGGTTTCAAATGCTAACCTTTGTTCCAAGTCAATACTCATTTTTATTGAATACTTTCTCTATATGTATATCTCACGTAATTTATAATTTAGAATATAGATCAAGGAATAATATATTAGAGAAAAGGTATTCTAATAATTAGAAAGTGGCGCCAAGATGTACTGAGAATTATCAGTTCACCATATAATACTTCGACAATGCAATTTCTGAATATGTACCATCAACAGTTTCTAAATCTTTCAATTTTGAAAGTCAGGTAGTATTTAGTATTCTGCATATATTTCCTATTGAAGGGATCTGGATCATGGTCTCATTATCGTTCCCTATTTAAATTCATTGATGACGTAATATAGCCTACAATTTCCCAGTTACTAGTTTAACAAACATTGCTACCTTACACCCGCGCGAGTGTGCGCCTTAACTATGGGAAAAACGCGCATTCCCAAGTGCAGGGCATAGAACATTACTAGGATTTACAACCAACGTTAACGAGCTTAGTAAGATGGCAAACAATAAGCAGGATATCGACATAGTCGGGGAGGTGGAGTTAATCATATGATAGAAAAAAGATAGTGCCACTGATATGTTAAATTCTAGGGAGATTATTTTATTATATAATAACTTGTCCAAAAGACATGACAATACCAAGCTGCGTTGCAGTAGTGTCAAGTGACAAAATTTTTTTTACGTCGTATTTTACAACGTTGCATAGATTTTCCAGTGGCGGTATCACAAAACGAAGCTTTGTTAAGACGTATAATTGAGCGGCTGACATTTAATTATGTAATGGTTCATTAAATTACATAAGCAATTGTAAGGTAGGGTAACCCTTCAAATATTCGAGGGATATCAATAAACACCATATTCATATCTATAACATAATGCCGTGTATGTATTTTTCAGGGGTAGATAGTGATATTATCACATACGATGATCCTAGCAATGAGTGCATTGTAATAAACCCAGAACTATATGATAGAGTTCGCAATAACAAAGAACAAAACACAAGAGTCTTCTTGGATACTCACTTGCTAAGCATTCGAGGTAATGAAGATGGGCGAGAACAACGTACAGAGAAACTAGTGTCTAAGGGTAATGCATCTGTGGGCCTAGGAAATATGCCTTCTATACCTATTCTTGTGTATACTAGCCGGGCATTGATTACAGCTGAATTTAGGAAGATGAGTAGTGATGATTTCAAGGATAGGTATCTTGCTCCGCTTGATATTGCTCTTAAAGAATCGAATATTTGCCGTCGACCTTTAGCACAAGAATATGCTTACCCACGGGGAGATGCAATACATGTGGAACAAGCTATCCAAGAATACTTTGATCGAGAAATAGCACGAACAATCGATCATCTTTATCGTGATATTGGTGATATAACCAATCATTTTTGCAGTCCATCGTTTGTAAGCCCCCCACTAGATAGCAAAAGAAGGATACAGCCTGATACCATTCACATGTTAACTAAGTCGGATTTAAATACACAATATCCCGAGATTGTTTTCGGAATAGGTGATTACAAAACAGGAGTCTATAAAATGATGCAAGGCTTCGAAGAATTCAAAACAGCTATTCTGAACCGAAGAAGATTGAGGCTGAATTCAACTGGAAAATTCTTTCCAGATAAGGAGTGGTCGCCTAGAGTACTATTTGCCTTGGTTCTAAGCAAATATATCTACGAAGCTTTTCTCTGTGGAACCAACAGGATTCTTATTTCAGACCACCAAACATTCTCAGGATTCTTCGAGTATGAAATAATGGATGGCGAAATGATTATAGACTACTATATCATCAATGATCCAGAAACTGTGGAGGATGGTATTACTTTGAGGTCGGCCATAGCGGGATTTTTTTATAAAAGTGTTGGTGATGCAACTGATACAAAGGCCAGGTTGATGGAAATTTTTAGTGTTACCAGCAGTACCGACGTAAAAAGTATTAAAGAACTGGATCCATTTTTCAACGTTCGTCCTAAAGACCCATCTGGATCCTCGGGAAAATTGGATAGACCTGGATTTTCAGCCAACTTAGACTCGATAAGAGAAAGTGATGTCAGCGATAACTTTGATGCTATTGATGGTAACACATATTGTCGAGTTATATACGATCCCGCAGAATTTTATCCTGATTTGAATCTTCCATCGCCAGTTTTTGTCAAACTATATTACTACTCTAGTCGATTGTGGGAAGAGAATAGTTTGATGTGTTTGGAGATACCGGAAAAAGAGGGGTATTATGGCATNTTTTTCAACGAGCTTTTNATTAANGAAAGAATTGCNAAGTCAGAATNNGCTTCTAATTTTCCAAAGCTCCTTGTTTCTGGTTATTGGAACGGATTTTCCGATCACCCAATGCATATATTTGAATACCTAGGGAAGGAGGTACCAGAGGAAAAGTGGAATAAGAAAGAAGTGTACAGAGTTATCAAGTCAAGACTCAAAGAGCTTCATCTGATAGGGATTTCCCATAATGATATTAGACTAGCCAACATTCATGTTTCTGTTTCTGGTAAAATATCTTTGATAGATTTTGGATTATCGGACTGCACAAATAATGAAGAACACAAGAAGAATGATTTTGAGACTCTTGACTACATATTGAGAGCAAACGGTTCTAATGACTGTTATAAGCATTCCAATCGAGTTAATGCTAAAAGCGAAGCTATACCTGCCGATAGAGGAGACGAAGATGACAAATATGGAAATGATAGTAATTCTTCTAGTGAAGTATTTGATGAAGGGAGTTCAGGAACTTTTGGTACCCAAATATCGATAGAAGATATTGCTTCAAAATCATCACAAAGATAATGCATACCTACAAGCTATTTTTTTAGCGTATTCATTTGAATCTTGATATTTGCCAGGTATTATTTGACTAAAGATTCGACAAAATTGTTTTGCTTGTTTTTCCCTTCTCAGTATAGGCATTCACGCAACTGGAGCTTGCCTAATGCCTTACAACTCTCACTTTCATTTTTCAACTCCCTAGCACTTCCACACTTTCTCTGTTAACTATTTATTAGCTAGAAATGACTTAATACATAACTTGCTTGCGTCGGACTCGTAATTGCTAGTCTATGAGTTGAGTAAGATACTTGTATCAGCAATGGAAAGGCTAGAGCGATATTACCACCCCAATTACATTATTGACCCTAGAAATTTTTCAAAATTTGCGGCACCACCAGCCTCTAATAATTGCTAGAATAACCCCACTCCCTCGAACAAGACTTGAAGATATAATATCAATTAATGCAATACCGGGAACAACACATAATGAACCAATTTTCGGGCCTTTTTTCCTCGTACTTCATTTACTCCCATGAGGATTGTTGGAATAGCTTGTCCAATTCGGTTGGTTTTAAGTCTTCCATTATGCCTCCATCATACCTTTGACTGACTGCTTGAAGTACCCACCCTAAGAATCCATTTAATTTTAAAAGATAGGATATTGAAGCCACCATTCTGTTAGCTTTGTTTGATGTCTTCGAAAGCAATATCCATATTCCCATCTTCAATGAACGTTTATTTGAAGTTAAATGTAGAAATTTCAATGTTATTGGCAAGTTTGTTGCCATAGAAAGCTAAATATGTTGGTTTTCCAAATTCATTTTCAATAACATCTAGCACAGAATTTGGTGAGTGTGAGATTAGAATACACTATTACTTTCTCTATTTGTTAATACTTTAGAAATTTTATGAGGAGAATATATCCCAACCCTTGAAAGACAATTATAGGCATTATGCGTTTGTTGTTAAACGTTACGTCGCTTCTATGCCTGTTCTTATATATACTTCCCGTGCATTAATGACTATTAATTCTGGGAAGGTAATTGGTCATAATTCGAAACAAGATATCTTGCTCTACTTTATAAACCTAGGAATCATTTATTCAGCACTGGCAATTATTGGGAGAGCATTAATACAACCGGAAATGCTATAAGTAGTGAGCATGATACCAAGAGTACTTTGATAGAGAAATATCATAAATAATCGGTAGACTTTAGTCTGATATGGGTAATAGGAACTACTATTTTACAGACTATCAATGATAAGACCGCTATTGGACTTAAGAATAATGCAACATGGTCATTAATATGATAAGTAGATCGAAATTGGGTAAACAATATTCCGAAATTGTTTTAAAGATTTGGTGAATATAAAACTTTATAAGATGAGGCAAATTTTGAAGACTTAAAATTAATTAAGGATTTCTGACTCTAAGAGGGTTGAGACTGCATTCTAACGGAAGTTGTCCAGATAGTGAGTGAACTCCTGGTGTGTGCTGTGCTTTTATTCAAAGGAAATATCTCCACATCACTTTAGAAAGTGCAATATTTTCTATGGAACGTAGTAGCGCATTCATTCGAATGTTAAGCTAGCAAAGGTTTGGTGGTAGCTTTTATGTTGCGACCAAAACTGTTTGACTGAATCCATTGTCTAACATTTTCCCTGGAGTTTCTCAAGGAAGAAAAATAAAACTTATATTTTTAAAATTTGCCAAACATTTCTCTCAGACTATAATGTCTCAGTTTTTTTTTGCGAAAATCTAAGAAAATTAAAAACTAAAATTTCTACTTTGAGGAAAAGCTTTTAAAAAGACCTATTTTTCATGGAATATACTCTACATTATTGAAATACTAAAATACAGGCTCTAATTCATAAATCGGAGGAATGGTTCCAGTCTTAAAATGTACATTTAGAAATTTTGTATGGCCCATTTTTTTTCGCACTGTCGAGGTTCCACTTTCCAAAAGTTGTGTCAAGGTCCCAATAGCTTTCATATATATCTTGTTTATTCAAAGCAATTCGAAGAACCTCTTCGTTACTTCTTTCTCAGTAAATCAAAGAAAGACACCACATCAACCGCTGGAGGCCGTGCGTTGAAACATATAGCTATCGAATCAGGGTTTTTGAAAAAGAGTATTACAACTAGCTCCTCAAATTGGTGCGTTTCTAGTGATGAAGATAGGGAATGGTTTTATGAATTGTACGCCGATAGACTCAGGGTTGCTCATGATGAAAAGGAGGATACATTCACAAAAAGTGAGATAGAAAATACCTGGAAATCCTGGATAGAGGCCGATGATGGAATATTGATCCTTGTGCACCGTGAAATATTATGTAGAAAATAGTATGTGCTTTACTGCTGTGGCTGATTTGAGACTCAAATTATGTTAGGCTTCTTTGTGAGATTTCCATTATAATAATCTAGTATTTACTGTTCTGTAGTAAATACGTAGTGATGTTACTGTTAAGATTGAATTAGCATCAAATCCACTTTTACTATCTGACAATGTATACTAAATCGTCATTTCATTGATTCTAGAACAAAAACCTCCGTGTCTCTTATAATTCAGCATAAAAGATTATAATGATCAACCAATGGTGAAGCCCCCGCAATGGAGGCAATAGAAAGGTATTTATGGAAAAATTGTAAAAGCAGGATACATTCCAGATGAGCTTGTAATGGGACATGAAATTGCAGGAACAATCGTCGAAATAGGTGGTGAGAGTGTCCGTAATGACTATCAGGTTGGAGACCGCGTTGCGATCGCAATTGCAAGCTTCTGTGGAATATGTGACAATTGCAGAAGTGGATTTGACAACAATTGCTTGCGATCTGTAGAAGCGTACGGATTGACTTTGAATGGAGGGTTTCAGCAGTTCTTATTGATTAAAATTNTGAGGGGTTTAATCCAGATCCCAGATGAAGTGACCTATGAGCAAGCAGCAATTGCGTAAGATGCAGTTTTAACGCCATTTCATGCCATTAATAAAGCAAGACGAGATTTGGTACCTACAGCTTATGTTTTGGTTTTGGTAATGGGGGGAGCCTGGCCTAAATGCATTACAAATTCTTCGTAACTTTGGGTGCACATCGTAGCAGTGGATATCAAGCCCGAAGCCAAAAAATTGGCAAAAAAGTATGGGCTACGGAGTTGTACCTGGATGTTAGTGAATCAAACTATACAAGACAATCATTCGACGTCTGTTTTGACGTCTGTTTTGACTTCTGTGGGTTTCAAGAGACTTTTGAAGTTTGTCAGGATTACGTCAAAGCAAGAGGAAGAATTGTTACTGTACTGCTGTTCCATTTAATTCGTTACCACATTATTTGAACAAATTATCTCAGGGAAAGGTCAATGGTCGCGTTGTTTTTCATCCTTCCAAGCTATAGCGATTCTGTTACATTTATTCTCCTTTATATAAAGGAGATTCCAAATGCTAATGAAGAAG